GTGAAAAGACTGCGGCAAGGGAAGGATAAAAAACTGAACGGAGTTTAAAAGATATAAGATGGCGATTGACGCTGCATTTAAATGTTTGAAGAGTGTAGTTGTGGGGGAATCAAGGAATCAGATGCCTCAAACATCTATTTAAAATTAAACATCGAGAAACGCTGTTGAATACTTTGTATTAAAATATTACATTAAGGTATTGATGGATCTGGATTCAAAAATACGGTTTTCTTTCGCTTTTATTTTCGTTTTCATGGCTATCGCAAATGCTGCATATTATAGTTTTGTTAGATATATTGATGGAATTTTAAGAGTTATTAATTTATTTTTCTTCATTTAAAAGTAAAACGTGTTTTGCCTCGTAAGAATATATTTTTGTTACTGAATATTGCATTGTCAGTTTTGTTTTGTTTTTTTAGAAAGACTATAAATCGTTTTTCCAGATAAAAGTCCTACTATTTAACACAAAGATGCGGGGTAATGGATTCATACATTTCCCGTATAGGAGGATTGATACTACGTTCGAGCTAAACACTCTTATTTCTCACTAAATTTACATGATTATTTGTCTGTATTTCTGAGATGAGGTATTTTAATTATTTAGACTCCTTACATTGTTAGGACTGTTGTACACATCTTATTCAGGTGATAGGAATTTCCGAAGAAATGTTTCAGTTCGAAATTCCAATCATTTGAAGAAGACCTAGACGTACACCTGCCCAAATTTTGTAAATATGGCGACAACAATTGTGACAATTGTCCGAAATAGTGTAATTATTTAGCTGTTTTTTACAAAATTGTTTTTTAACGCATTTTTCGTTTTTCAAAAGCGTCTTTGTACGACATTGTCATTCGTCTGTATTTGTCATTACTTTTTGTCGTCGCAAACCATATCTGAAATCCTGATAATTATTGAATTTAATATATTTCCATTACTATTGACACTCCCTCTTTTAGGAAGTCTTCGACAAACCCTTTCTTGTTCTGCTTCCGTTTTATGTTTCCATCCATTTCCTGATTGTCAATCGATGATGATTGAGAACAAGTCTTTTCAATTCTCTCATTCTTTTCCGACGATCATCTGAGACCAAAACAACGCCGTTGTCTGTTAGGTGAATGTAACAACCCCGACTTCAATTTGAACCCATCTCTCCGATTTGTAATTCCGTACCGCTATCCGTTACCTCACCCACACATTATGTTTTGTTAGGAAACGAGATATTTTGTATGATCGTGAACATAATTTCACCGTCGAATATTTTGAAATTATTTAACTTTCAATAGTTTTCTCTTTAATAAATTGCTTTCACTTTTAAATAAAGTTTTCATTTCAATTTCCATCTGTACGTAGTAAGAGCTTTGCATTAAAAACGCCTGAATTGATCAAAATGTTTAGAAATAATATTTGACAGAAGTATTCGTAGATAATCGAATATGTTTTGATGCTCATGAAAGTTAGGCGACATTTCTTTGTGTATGATTTGTTTCCATATCGAACGAAGAGTAGGAAATGAATTAAGAAAAAAAAGTCACAGACAATTTATCCAGACTCACGTTTTCGGGGAGTGAAATAAAAATAAATATATGCGCAGGCTAAGTGAAAAAAAAATAGAAAAAAAAATGGTTGGAAAATAGAGAAACCGAAAGCAAAATAAAATGGATTGTCCTAAAGAAAATACAGCCAATTCTGCTCTAAGCTTATTGCTCTGATTTTGTGTCTATAGGCCTTCTATTCTTTTTAAATCTTACACGTATTCGCCATCATGACCGCGATTAGAGACTGGATAATCCTACGTGTGCGCATGCGCAGTGGACGACTTTCGCAAGCGTCCATCAATGGCAGACAAATTATTTTAACGACAAAGGTAGAGAGGGTCAGCAGAAAATAGCCGCAGACAAAATGGGGGATAAATTGGTAATTGATTTGGGATCAATATTGAAATGCACATGAATTGGTAAAAGTTAATGGGCGGGCAAAGTGGACAAACTTTGCCTAATTTCGTCTTCTCGATATAATTTTCTAGAAAATCAAGTCACACAGATTTAAATAAATCAAATATCACTTGTCGTGGAAAGAAAAGGCTATAGTTATGTATATTACTAATATTAATATCGATTGTGTAGATAACGTTAAGTATAGGTTTCTCGAAATATCTTAACAATCAGTAGCCACAATATTTGATTTTCTCTTTAGTTTGATACGATAGAATAGCTCTATAATCTCTCTAAATGATTGTATACGCAAACAGGTACACACAAACGAATATATATATATATATATATATATATATATATATATATATATATATATATATATATATATATATCCCTCACCGCTAGAACGACTCAGAGATTCATTCACAATGGAATCTTCAGATGCTGGACGGTGAAGAACGTTACATAATTTAAATTTTAATTAAGATATCTTCTTAATGCAATGCTAGCAATGTTTATATATTTATACAGGGATTATGCTCCTTATTTTAACAATATATATTGCAATTCAAATAGAAGGGGTTTTTATTATTTTATATTTAAAATAAATAGGCAGATTTGAGCCAAGAATGCAATGTATAAATCGGCGATACCAAAAGTACGACACTGAAATCCGAAAGCGGATTGGGACAGCCAAAGATGCCTTCCAAATGCTAAACAAGGTATTAAGAAACTGGAAAATTTCGTTAAAAAAAAAAAAATTGAACTAGTATGTGATATCTGACCTCCTATATGGGCAGTAACTGCTGGAAAATTGCCTCAAACATGGAAATGAGACTTGAACTTACAGAAGTGTGGTTCTACATGAGGATGCTGAGGATACCACCGAATATTTGAGCACCGACGAAGTTTTAATGAAAATAGAAGCAAAAAGAAAGGCATAATTAATATCAAGAAGAAAGTTGGAATTTCGAGCGCACTTAATGAGAAACGAGGACTTGGAAAATTTGATACTCACGGGACCGATTCAAGGCAAGAGGGACAAAGGAAAACAGAGTATAACATACTTTGTACGCTTGAGTAAATGAATGGGTTTTGAAGAGATAATAAAAAAAGAAAACTCTATTAAAAGCTGCAAAGACTGGTAATTGTGGAGAGCCATGACCGCTTACCTCTTGAGGGGTCACAGCTCATAAATAAGAAGGAGGGGTATGAAGAAATAAGCTTAAATGTTGGTTATAATTACATACTGATGCAAAGCGCTGAAAATGTGGAATGACTGATTTTAAAATGTTTGAGTTTAAATATTCTAAGTTTTAACATTTTAAATTTAAAACTGGTTAGTGTCGGACGTGTCTAGACGCACAGCCTACCCAAACTCACTGGGTTTCCTTACGGTTTTGTTTTTGATTTTTGGTTTTGATTTTAAATGCACCACATTACGACAATATGTGTTCTGCTAAGAAAGGTGAAATATTACAAGAATCTGCAAACAGAATAAGCGAAGAGGATTTAGTAACCAGTGTAAGCGGCATCATTAAAAATTGGATGGTACACATGAGCCCCACATACGATCTGTAGTTAATCTGATATCCAATAGGTGTAGGCATCAGATTGTGAGTGGAAGCCTAAATCGATACTGGAGAAAAGTCAGGACCTGAGCTTTAACGATGTGCTTAGTCTTTGATGTACTGAATTTTACAAAACAGTACTTGCCAATGAATTTTTAGGTTTAGTTCATATGCATGGTTCAGGTCGTCTTGATATTTGGAAAATTATATGAAGGCTATTTGCAGTTTCATGAAAAAATACTCCTTTTATGATAGCGTTCTTTTTTTTTACGTATCTGTTCAGTTTTCTTAACGTGCAAACTTTTATTTTTAGTTTGAACATATGAAATATTTATTCTACTTGTTTATTCTTGTTTTAAGAGTCAGATGAATTTCATTTGAAACATTGAAATGAGTCTCGATGTACCATGGAACATCTAATCTCTTATATGGTAGTTAGGGGTCAGCAATCCCCTCAGAGATGAAGTCATTTAAATGGACAAAACAGTGAGCTATCTAGGAATCTTGAGTATATCACGCAGATAGTATTAACTATAAGGAAACTTAGTCTTATAATAAGAAAGAGATGGCTGAATTTATCGGGGAAACATAATGAGAAAAGATGGTCTGTAACATGTAACAATCACTGGACATAGCGAAGTTAGAGAACAGAAAACATCGCCGATTAAGCTAGCATCCTTCTGTAGGACCACATTTCAGTTGATTGAATTATCTTCTTCATCTGCCATATAGGATGACTGATACAACATAACATTTAAGTACTTTCTTTGTTCGTACGGGTATTTTTTCTGTTTCTTAATACGTTGATCAGCATTTGGGAGGAACAATGCATACGAGAATTAGGAGTTTACTTTGGGATGATGCTGAAATTTTGCTTAAAGTAATCTCATAAATTGTTTTTTTTTTAATCTTTTCTCCCTTAATCGAATTCGTAATACATGTCTGCTGCAAATTAATAGATTTTATTATGTAAAACTAATATCACAATGCGGTCTTAGTCGCTTTCAATATGCATTGTATTTTCTAGTTTTCGCTTAAATGTCTTCATTGACGCGTTGTCCGCCTTGAATACTTGTACATTATGTTGTGATCTTATTGAGAAATATCATACATAATCGTACGCAAGAGATTACCTTCAAGCAGTGTAAGAAATTTCCTTTTTTCTTTTACTGGGAAATTTACAATGAATTTACTATTATTTTTCTCTAGATTTTGATTTTATTTCTTTTGCTATTAAATAAAAAAAAATACATGTAAAATGAAGATAGAAAATAATTTTCTATACATTTTATTTTTGTACGACACAAAGATTCATGTTAGCAGATTAAACAATGCCATGGGGAAATTTCATTCTCAATTTCCTACAATTCAAGAAAATCGAAATAAAAAATAATAATAAACAATTTGATTGATGCATTTCAATCTAAAGGCAATCATTTTCAAAACCCACTCAAAGATATCTGTTTCGTCGCATAGATTTAAGTACGGTTTAGAGCCATATCATGATTAAACACCGGTTCTTGTACGATCATCAAAGTTAAGCAACGTCGAGCCTTGTTAGTACCGAGATGGTTGACCGCTTGGGAATACTAGCTGCTATAAACTCGCATGGATGTGCGAGTGGTATAATGGATAATGGCTCGGGGTTGATAGTATGAGAGTTGAGTTTCTATTCCAGTGAGATTCGGTATATTCACTCATGCGCAAATGCTACTGGCGAAGGATTGAAACCAATTTTTCTCCCCAGCTATGGATTAATTAGTAAGACGTCATTATTTTCTCAAAAAAAAATTCATGTAAAAATATTTTATGGATTTAAATTAACTCCAAAATATTGAAAGATTTTAGAAAATGGATGAATTAATCAAAATCGACGCCCTCACTGGGATCAAGTTGAGATCATAGACAAAGAACATCACTGGAAAATTCGTAAACTTAAGGAATCAGCGTATATGCTAGGCCACAAGAATCTCCTGAGCCAACCAAGCATAGAAATGAATACAACATGGGAACCAGTAATAAAGAGTGCCAGAGAAAAGCGATAATGACAACAAAAATTGCAATATGAGTTCTGGTAAAGAATGAATCAGAAAATATTAAGTTTATAATACCAAGAAATTCATACACAGATGTTCGCAAAGACACATGGCACAGTGGATAAAGTCGTTAGTTAGATCCAGTGACAGGACACAAAGAGTGTCAGTTCAAAACCTGGTTAAGGCGGTTGTGAAATTTGAGAGGGGAATTAACAGGAAATAACTGACATCTATTAGACAAGGCACGTGGAAATAGAACAGTTAGCGAAATAAAGGGTTCAGTTCGATATTCCAACCCCCTGAAGAAGGCCGGAGCGTACAACAGCCGAAACGTTGTGATAAATATGGCGACAAAGATGAGGACAATAGTCAGAATAATGTATATAATACCTCATCTCAGAAATATAGACAGATAGTGTGGCACAAAGTTTTGCTACATAAGGTCTCCAGTTATGGAATCATTGGAAGGGTTATCTATATTAATATTCCTTCCTAACAGGTAGATCTCTAAAGTTATTTATTAACGGCCAGTTCTACGAGGCCCTGGCACTCAACGCAGGCATCCCCTAGGGGTCACATCTCGAACCCACCATCTTTTTGATGTTATAAATGATCTAAGAATATACTCCTAACACTTGTAAACGTTCATGCCAATGACAATACGATATACGGGCGTATCTTGATAATCAGTGATTGCTAACTGACATCTCTTTTGATCTAACACTAACTTTCCAGTAGGGAAAAAAAGGCTTGTTATATTCCATGCCGATAAAACCAAACTGGTTATCTTACATCAAAGCCGATCAGACCACAAACTAACGCCAGTTATGAAGAATGTCTGTCCCTTGAGTAGGCCCCGTACCTCGAGAGGATATTGGACCTCAAGCGCACATCCGACCTCAAGTTGACATGGGGACAATAGTCCGAATAATGTAAATATTGTACAATCAAAATATGTACAGTACGAATAAAATGCTGAAGATAGTTTAATGATTAAATATATCTCGGTGAGTTCTGGGCTCTGATGTAAATTTTAAGTTGTTGGTTATCTGATATGTATTTAAACTCAGACATTTTTTCAGTCTGTACTGTCCTCTCTATCCTGAAAATTGTTATGTTTTTAAAAGGGGCAGATTTTACTAATGGAATCATCTCTTCGAATTTACTGATCATAAGCAAGTTGGAGATTGTAACGCATAAAAACATATCTACCTTACTAGAAAGATGACTCCAAAAGCAATCGCAAAATCAGTGATATCTATTTATCTATTTTCCTAGCAAGATTAATTATAAGCCTGCTTTTAAAGTTCAGCTTTTTAACTGCAACTGTGGCTGGCACGATAAAAGCATACCTCGTTACAAGCTAAAACTCGATGCAGGTTCAATCTCTACATACAGGGTGAATGAAAAGTAACTCCCTATTTTATGTTTGAGGTGTTCGACGAGGAGTCCTGATTTAAAACCCTGTGACATTTTTCTTTGAGTTGGTTAAAGGAATAAATCTTCTATACCAAACGAATACCCTGAAAGTACTTGGGAGGCGAATACAATGTGTCTTCCATGCGATATTAGTTCCTGGTGAAATCATTTGACACGATTCCTGGTTGACTCGAGAAATGTTGCGACCATATCGAATTTTAAATAAAACCTCATGCTAAACGTTTCCTCAAGTATCCATTTCTTGTGAAAGTTATGGTTAATAACTAAGTTGGAAGTATTTTAAAATGGGGAGTTACTTTTCAGTCAACCTGTAGATCTGCATTTCCTTTAACAGGACATACGATGGTTGTAGATCAGTAAATATTAGTTTCAATGTTGGAGAAAAACTGGAATGACTAGCAAAATACGTATAATCCTGAAACATAACTTTTCTTTAAAATAAAAACAAAATATATCATATTAAAAATAAATCCATTCATTACTTTCAAATTATACATGTATACATATATGTATATACGTATATGTAAGTATACGCGTGAGAGTGTGCATGTGTGTGCGTGTGTGTATGCGAGTGTGCGTGTGTGTGTGTGTACGCGAGTGTGCGTGTGTGGTGTGAATGCAAAAATTAAAACATCTAAATATATATATTTAATAGAGAGTATAAACGAAAGGAAATTTTTTCATGAGCCGCTTCGAAGGACTATTTCAAAGCAAGCGTAAGGATTTATATCAGATCTGTTGTAGAGTAGTTTTCACAGTGGAGGCTTATATTACAATAAGTCGTCCTAAATTAGGTTCGACGTACAAAACGTTAGGAACTTGAAATAAGAGTTAATGACGCAGCAATCTAGTTGTGATGGTTGGCAATTTAATGTCCGATATCGACTGACTCGCTCAACACTACTGAGTATTTATCGTTCCACCCACGAGGACCGAATATGGCACAAGGCCGGTTTTAATGTGGGTATCCCCGAGCAAAAAAATATAGCCTTTGAAGCCGATTAGACGGGTTCAGGCCCTAACGAAACCTTGCCCTTCGGCAAAGCTTCGTCCGGGTTCCTCTCTGCTAATGCAAAGTTCGACAGGAGGCGTGTGCAGTCAAAGACCCACTGAGTATTTATCTTCTCACCCACGGAAAAGAATATGGCACAAGGCCGGTTTTTATGTGGGGTTTTCCGAGCCCGTAGGCTCGGCCAAAAATATAGCCTATTGAAGCCGATTAAACGGGTTCAGGCCCTGTCCACCTCCCCGGACGAAACCTTGCCCTTCGGCAAAGCTTCGTCCGGGTTCCTCCTGCTAACGCAGAGAGTCGACAGGAGGCGTGCGCAGTCAAAGACCGCGGGACGCCACTGAGTCTTTTCACCCACAGGAAAAGAATATGGCACAAGGCCGGTTTTTAATGTGGGTTTCCCCCGAGCCCGTAGGCTCGGCCAAAAAATAGCCTTTTTGAAGCCGATTAAACGGGTTCAGGCCCCTATCCACCTCCCCGGACGAAACCTTGCCCTTCGGCAAAGCTTCGTCTGGGTTCCCTCTCTAATGCAGAGAGTTCGACAGGAGGCGTGTGCAGTCAAAGACCGCGGGACGCCACTGAGTATTTATCTTCTCACCCACTTGAAAAGAATATTGGCACAAGGCCGGTTTTTATGTGGGTTTTCCGGAGCCCGTAGGCTCGGCCAAAAAAAATAGCCTTTTGAAGCCGATTAAACGGGTTCAGGCCTGTCCACCTCCCGGACGAAACCTTGCCCTTCGGCAAAGCTTGTCCGGGTTCCTCTGCTAATGCAGAGAGTTCGACAGGGGCGTGTGCAGTCAAAGACCGCGGACGCCACTGAGTATTTATCTTCTCACCCACTTGAAAAGAATATGGCACAAGGCCGGTTTTATGTGGGTTTTCCCTGAGCCCGTAGGCTCGGCCAAAAAAATAGCCTTTGAAGCCGATTAAACGGGTTCAGGCCCTGTCCACCTCCCTGGACGAAACCTTGCCCTTCGGCAAAGTTTCGTCCGGGTTCCTCTCTGCTAATGCAGAGAGTTCGACAGGAGGCGTGTGCAGTCAAAGACCGCGGGACGCCACTGATTTATCTTCTCACCCACGGAAAAGAATATGGCACAAGGCCGGTTTTTGTGGGTTTCCCAGCCCGTAGGCTCGGCCAAAAAATATCTTCCTTTGAAGCCGATTAAACGGGTTCAGGCCTGTCCACCTCCCGGACGAAACCTTGCCCTTCGGCAAAGCCTCGTCCGTTTCTTCTGCTTACGCAGACGACAGGAGGCGTGCGCAGTCAAAGACCGCGGGACGCCACTGCCCTTCTCACCCACGGAAAAGAATATGGCACAAGGCCGGTTTTTATGTGGGTTTTCCCGAGCCTGTAGGCTCGGCCAAAAATACATATAGCCTTTTGAAGCCGATTAAACGGGTTCAGGCCCTTCCACCTCCCGGACGAAACTTTGCCCTTCGGCAAAGCTTCGTCCGGGTTCCTCTCTTCGCTTACGCAGAAGGTTCGACAGGAGGCGTGTGCAGTCAAAGACCGCAACGCCACTGGGTATTTATCTTTTCACCCACGGAAAAGAATATGGCACAAGGCCGGTTTTTTATGTGGGTTTTCCCGAGCCCGTAGGTTTTCCCCAAAAAACCTTTTTGAAGCCGATTAAACGGGTTCAGGCCCCGTCCACCTCCCGGACGAAACTTTTGCCCTTCGGCAAAGCTTCGTCTTTCTGCTTATGCAGAGAGTTCGACAGGAGGCGTGTGCAGTCAAAGACCGCCGGACGCCACTGAGTATTTATCTTCTCACCCACGGAAAAGAATATGGCACAAGGCCGGTTTTTATGTGGGTTTTCCTGAGCCCGTAGGCTCGGCCAAAAAATAGCCTTTGAAGCCGATTATACGGGTTCAGGCCCTGTCTACCTCGACGAAGCTTTGCCCTTCGGCAAAGCTTCGTCCGGTTCCTCTCCGCTTACGCAGAGAGTTCGACAGGAGGCGTGTGCAGTCAAAGACCGCGAGACGCCACTGGTATTTATCTTCTCACCCACGGAAAAGAATATGGCACAAGGCCGGTTTTATGTGGGTTTTCACGAGCCCGTAGGCTCGGCCAAAAATATAGCCTTTTGAAGCCGATTAAACGGGTTCAGGC